GGATATCGGTCTGTAATTTTATTTTCTTATAAAACCTTTTGGTGTTGGCCACAAAAATGAGTTGGGGATCATTCCCTTTTCCTTTTTTTTTTGTTAATCCTCACCTGAGGATATTTTTTTCCCTTGATCTTTAGAGAAAGTGGAAGGGGGGCAGGGAGAGAGAGAGATTGATTGGTTGCCTCCCGCAAGACCCCGACCTGGGCCAGGGATGGAGCCTGCAACCCAGGTATGTGCCCTGACTGGGAATCAAACCCGAGACCCTTCGGCGTGCAGGCCTGTGCTCTAGCCATGGAGCCACACTGGTCAGGGCCCCTTCTCTTTTATTGAACAGTTTATATAAAATAGGTTCAATTTCTTTCTTAAGCGTTTGATAGAATTCCTCGGTGATGCTATTTGGCAACTCTACACAGGTCTGATGTATATTAAGTTGGATTATTGGTTATATAATTTTATATTTTGGCTTTTGACTTTCCATAAGTATTTTCCCATGCCATTTAGAAACTTTCACCATCACTATTGTTTGAACTTGTATAATATTGTTATGTTTGTATTGTTGCATATTTAAACATTTCCTGTTGTTGAATAGTGAGAATTTTCTCAATTTTTCATGATACCTCTAGAAGTGAACTTTTTCACAAGTCTTCTATTTGTGATATGTTTAATATAATGTCTAGAAATGGGATTACTGAGACAAAGGCCATAAAGGCTTTTTAAAAAATTATTTTTATTTATTCTCACCTGAGGACATTTTTACATTTATCTTCAGATAGCGCGGGAGGGAGAGAGGGAGGAAGAGAGAGAAACATTGATATTAGAGAAACACATCGACTGGTTGCCACCCACATGACCCCAACCGGGCTGGGGACAAACTGCAACTGAGGTACGTGCCCCTAGCGGGGACCAAACCCAGGCCTCTGGTCCGCAGGCTGACGCTCTATCCGCTGAGCCAAACTGGCCAGGGTAGGGCTTTTAATTCATATTGCTAGATTGCTTTCCAGGAATGATTAAGTGTTTGCCTTCGTTTTTGTTAATATTTTTCAAAGGCCAGATTAGTAAAATAGTAAATATTTCCAGAATAATAAGCTGCCCACCACATTTAAGATATGCAGGCTGCAGCCCTGGCTGGTTTGGCTCAGCGGTTAGAGCATTGGCCTGCGGTCCAGAGAGACCCAGGATCGGTTCCCGCTAAGGGCACGTACCCCAGTTGCAGTTTGTCCCTGGTCCTGGTTGGGTCGTGCGGGTATCAGCCACTCGATGTGTCACTTTCACATCGATGTTTCTCTCTCTCTCTTTTCCTCTCTCTCCCTCCCACTCTATCTGAACAAAAAATGGAAAAATGTCCTCAGGTGAAGATAAAAAATAAAATAAAATAAATAAAAAGATCTGCAGAATGCAGAATTAGTATACTTTTTAAAGTGACTTGTTTTACTTCATTAGAGAGAATGGCTTAGTAAATTTCATTTTTTAATTATGAAAAGTGTTTTGCTTTCCTGAACACATACAGCATTCAGTTCTGCAACATTTGTCAAGTATCTATCATGTGCCAGGCATGTTGCTAGAAAGAGGAGAAATAAATTGGAATAAATGGTTTCAGACCCTAGAACAGTTTTTTTCAACCTTCCTGCCACGACCCTTTAATACAGTTTCTCATGTTGTGGTGACCCCCAACCATAAAATTATTTTTGTTGCTACTTCATAACTGTAATTTTGCTACTGTTATGTCTTAGGCGACCCCTGTGAAAGGGTCATTCAACCCCCAAAGGGGTTGTGACCCACAGGTTGAGAAGGATTCATATTCATCTAAATACTTAATAGTGTAGTAAACTGCACATACATAAAGTAAATCTGGAAAGTGCTGAGGAAGCAGTCATTTGTGCCAAAGAGTAGAACATCTGAGATGAGCCTTCAAAAGAGTGGACTGTTGTTAGGTGAAGTAGGAAGAGTTCAACCCAGCACATAATAAAGATCATTTAGAATGTGAAGTATATAACCTGTGTTTCACAGTTAAAAACTTGACTCCCAAAATTTCCTGATTATTCTCTTCTCTTTCTAGGACACATGCAATCTTACTCTTAGTGTGGAGCGATTTCTTCTCTTTGGACAACACCTTTAGTAGAATGGTCTTCAGTGCTTTTCTCATTGTCTCCTGTTCACAGTTATTATTTTTTAAAGTAATTTTTATTTTTCAATTAGTTGACGTACAATATTATATTAGTTTCAGTCGTACAACCAAGTCATTAGACATGATATAACTAAAGTGATCATCCCAATAAATCTCATACCCAATAAATCTGATACCATATGTAGTTATTAGAATATTATTGATTATATTCCCTATGCTGTACTTTACATCCTCATAACTGTTCTGTAACCACCAATTTGTACTTCTTAATCCCTTCACCTTTTCCACCCAACTCCCCAACCCCCCTCACATCTGGCATCAGTTAAAAGATTCTTTGTATCTATGCGTCTGTTTCTTTTCTGCTTGTTTATTTTGTTTTTTAGATTCAATTGTTAATATGTATTGTCATTTTATTGTTCATATCTTTTATCCTTTTATTCTTAAAGAGGATCCCTTAACATTTTATATAATATTGGTTTGGTGGTGGTGAACTCCTTTAGCTTTTTCTTGTCTTATAAGCTCTTTATATGTTCTTCAATTCTAAATGATAGCCTTGCTGGGTAGAATAATCTTGGTTATAGATCCTTGCTTTATATCACTTTGAATACTTCTTGCCAACTCCTTCTGGCCTGCAAATTTTTTGTTGTGAAATCAGCTGATGGTCTTTTGGGAGTTCTCTTGTAGGTAACTAACTGCTTTTCTCTTGCTGTTTTTAAGATTCTCTTTGTCTTTAACCTTCGGCATTTTAATAATAATGTGTTTTGCTGTGAGCCTCTGGGTTCATCTTGTTTAGGACTCTTCTGTGCTTCCTTTCTTTTACCACGTTAGGGAAGTTGTCATTATGGTTTCAAAAAGTTCTTTAATTCCTTGCTCTCTCTCTTTCCCTTATGTCACCTCCATGATGCAAAAGTTGTTATGCTTGAAGTTATTCCAAAGGCTCCTTACACTATCCTCATTTTTTCTGGATTGTTTTTGCTGTTCTGATTGGGTGTCTTTTGCTTTCTTCTATTCCAAATCGCTGATTTGATTGTCAGCTTCATCAACTCTATTGTTGAGTCCCTGTAACTAAATTATTCTTTATTTCTGTTAGTGTAGCCTTTATTTCTGAATGGTTCTTCTTAATGCTTTCCATATCCTTTTTTATGCTGTTTAAGTTCTCCCCAACTTCAGTGAGCATTTTTGTTGTTGTTAATCCTCTCACGAGGATATTTTTCCATTGATTTTTTTAAAAAAATATAGAATGAAAGGGAGAGAGGGAGGAAGAAAAAGAGAGAGAAACATCAATTGGTTGCCTCCTGCACGACCCCAGTCAGGACCAGGGTTTGAACCTACAACCCAGGTATGTGCTCTTGATTGGGAAGTGAACCCATGACCCTTCAGGGTCATCTAACCACTGAGCCAAACCAGCCAAGGCCTTCATTGAGCATTTTTATAACCACTGTTTTGAACTCTGCATCTAGTATATTGCTTGTCTCCATTTTGTTTAGTTCTTTTCTGGAGTTTTGTTCTGTTCTTTCATTTGGGACATATTTCTTTGTCTCCTCATTTTGGCTGCCTCCCTGTGTTTGTTTTCCAGTTGCCGCTAGTGCTGGGCCTGGGAACACTTAGCGAGAGGTATAGTGTCAGTGGAGGCTAGATACTGCTTGTTTGAGAGGTTTATGAAAGTCTAAAGCATGAGCCAAGACAGGTCATTCATATGGAAAATCTACTGAAAAGGGCTTTGGTGGGTTTGCGAGTCAGGTGGGATCTCAGAATCATCAGGTTGTGGTGAATAGCAATAGCCAAGATAATGGAGACTCAGATATGGAACCCATCTATCAGTCTGTTGTGGGGGTGATCTCAGAAAAGGAACAAGGGCCTCTGCCACCACTTCTGTCTGGAAGAAAGCCCTCCCAACCCCCCACCCGCCCCCAGTTCTCACCTTGATGCCAGACAATTCAGGTCCTCCTCCTATGTCCCTGGTGCCTTTTGAGCTGCCGCCCCAGCGCTGGAGCTCAGAGGTAGGGAGTCCGAGTAAGTCCATGTACAGGCCCTTTAAGGGGTACTGCCTGGGACTCCAGAAGCTTCCATCTCCCTCAGCCTCAGTCCTAGCTGGTTTTTACAGCCAGAAATTAATGGGATTTTTCTTCTTGGCACTGGAACCCAGAGCCTGGTGTGGAGCTGGGATTCCTTGCTCTTCAGGGGAGACATCCACAGCCGAGATATCCCTCCCGATTTTTATCCATCATGTTTGGGGTCCCTGCCCATTTCGCATCTCTGTGCCTTTTGCCACTCTCTGTATGGCTTCTTTAATTCCCTAGTTGTAGGACTTATGTTCAGCTAGTTTCAGGTGGTTCTGAATGATGGGTGTTCTGTAGTTTAGTGGTAATTTTGACATGGTTGTGGGAAGAGGCCAGTACTGCGTTTACCTATACCACCATCTTGACTGGAAACTCTCAATCTGTTATTAATTATATAGATTGATAGAAACAGTGATTTCAGTTGCCACTCACATCCAAAAGCATTGGTGGCTTTAAGGAACTGGTTTTCCTTTGACCTGTCATAGACATCATGTGCATTTAGCCTCATCACATTTTAGAATTAAAGATTTCTTAACAAAGACCAATGCCATTCCATGTGTTCTAGGGCCATCTTGAGTGCTCAGTCAGTGTATGTGGTTTAATGATGATGGATGGGGTGGCGTGGGTTCATCTTGAGAGTGTCAGAATATTGCTTTCTCAATATAAAAGTAATTGATAGAAATATGTCAAGTGGGCAGTGCCGAACTATTAAAACTGACCATTAACCGTTTGTTAATTGAATCATAAAATATGATCATTCTTTTAAGGATATAGTATATGTCTTTTATGAAATTTTGTTTTCATGTTTATTTTAATAGGATGAAAGTTAAAAAACTGCCCATGATTCTAGCTCTACACCTGAAGAGATTTAAATATATGGATCAACTTCATCGATACACAAAACTTTCTTACCGGGTAGTTTTTCCTTTAGAACTTCGTCTCTTTAACACTTCAGGCGATGCAACTAATCCTGACAGAATGTACGACCTTGTGGCTGTCGTGGTTCACTGTGGAAGGTAATTGCAGCTGTGGGGCCAGCAGTGAGTATGGGCTGGTGAACAGTGCGCATTCAGGGTGTTCTTGAGGGATTCCAGGGTAGACCTCTCAGAGGTTCTCATCCATATACATGTTATCATTTCCTCCTTGAAACTTTTATGTATTAAAATATTATATTGTTGTATTGATTTGATTTTTTAAATTCAGTTTATTGGGGTGATACATTGGTTAGTAACATGCATGTGTTTCAAGTGTATAATTCTTATTTATTTATTTATTTTTATTGTTGAAAGTATTACAGATGTCTCCGATTTTCATCCTTTTTTACCCCTTCGTACCCAACCCTTGCCCCACCCCAGGCCTTCCTCATGCTGTTGTCTGTGTCCATGGGTTATGAATATATGCATTTATGCTCTTTGGTTAATCTCTTCCTTTCTCCCTCCTGCAACCAACCCATTCCTCCGCTGAGATCTGTTACTCTGTTTCAAGTGTACAGTTCTATAGTACAATACCTGTATGCTCTGTTGTGTGCTCACCACCCAAAGTCTTGTCTTCCTCTCTCTATAAATTTGACCCCTTTTATCTTCTTTATTCTTCCCCCATCCCCTTCCCCTCTGGATTTTATTTTTATTATTTTTTCTTTATTTATTTATGTTAGAGAAAGGGAGAGGGAGAGAGAGAAATATCGATGAGACAGAACATCGATTGGCTGCCTCCTGCATGCCCCCCACTAAGGATCAGGCCCACAACCTGGGCATGTGCCCTGACCAGGAGTTGAACCGGCGACCTCTTGGTGCATGGGTAGACACTCAACTACTGAGCCACACTGGCCGGGCTGATTTTTATTCTTATTATTTAAATATAACTCTAAGAACTTCAAGGCCTTGTTTCTTTTCCTTTTTTATTTTTTGTTTTGATAAAAATGATGATACCTAAATAGATTTGCAAAATAAATTCCTTCGGTTCACTGGATATGTTAATTGTGTTAATGGTTGTAAAAACCATTTACTATGTCTTTGGAAATAATCTATAAAGATAGTTTTCTGATTTTTGCCTTATTGTGTTTATTTTCTGTTAGCCAGTTTTGTATGATATCTCACTCTATAAAATAGCTCAAAAAATGCTTAAACTACAAGAGCATCATATAATCAGAATTCATATTTGAAACATACAGTCTTCATTGACTTTTGAGAATTTCCTATAATAATTGTAAAACAGGAAACTTACACTAACAATATGTTTTATCCAACTGGAAACATCCCGGCCTACCTAGCTGTAGCTGTCCCTCCAACTCTCTGCTCAGAATATGTCATGACAGTTGGAAGTCAGCTCTGTGCTAACAGAGAACCTCCATTGCTCACATTAGGCTGTCTTCCTGTATTTTATACTTTGTTGTCATCTTTCTTTTCCCTTTTTGGAGCTTTACATTTCTAAAGTAAGAATGATGACATCTGAATGGAGGAAAACAATAAGAAATACCTTAAAGAACCTATAGTTATTCAGTCCAGAGGTTTGAGAGGCAGAGAAACCTTGGTTTCAGTTCTCTTCTTGCCATTTCTAGTTAGTGTGACCTCATACAGAACTCCCTCAATGTCCAAGTTTTTTCTTCTACAAAAGGTAAATAATATCAACTACCTTACTTCATTGTCAGGATTAAAAGGGAAATGTAAATCACTTAGCTGCCACTACTGTTTTAACAGCAATAATAATAATGTTTCACACCCTAACTTTACTATTTTGTAGCCTTTCCATATTCAGTAACAGTTTTACCCCATTTAAATTCAGATCTATCTTTTGGAATTACTCTACACACAAGATCTTGAACTCGGAGATTTCTGATTGCAACCCTGGGCCCCTTCCCCACTCTGTCTTCTTTTAAAATTTAATCCACCCTTTTTCCCTTACAGCCTCTTACCTCTGGATCTTTTGTCTTTTAAACCCTTTCTTTGGCCTCAAGTGCTTCTCCTCCCAGCCTTACCACCCAAGCACCGTGGCGTTCTCTGGCCACTGTTGGTGTCTCCAGCTGAGCTGTCAGAGTGCTCTCCTCCCAGGCCGGCTGAGTGCAGTGGGGCTCATCCTGCTTGAGTTCTTCCCAGCAGCTGTTCACATCCCTCCCCACCCAGTCTCTTACTCTTCCTTTTCTCTCACTCCGGTCCCCTCAGGCCTTCTTCCTGTCCCTGCTCTGCCTGTTGACCCTCCGTGCCTCTTCCTCGGCGCTCTTCCCTACAGCCGCGTTCTTCATTTGGTGCTACTAGGTGTGTGTTGCTGGTTGTGACTTACTGCTTTGTTGTGTATTATATTTATCTGTTATATGTCTGTTTTCCTTATCTGAATGTACACTTTTTAAAACAGGAAATAAATTGTCCATTAAATAAAACACTGATAATATTTTAATTATTTTTATTTTATTTATGAGATTTATCTGTAGGCATGTTTCATGTCAGTATTAATGATTTACCTTTGTCTGCAGCCTTTGACTATTGGGGGATCTCATTTTCATGCTCACTTTCTGCCCCCAGTGCCTGGCATATAGCAGATTTCCAACAAGTACTTGCTGAATTACTGAATATTCTACTTTAAGCCCATCTCAAACCCCCACTGCTCTGTGTAACTAACCTTTCTCGATTCCTCAGCCCTCTCCCTCCTCTCTCACTGGACGTGGTCTTATTTCACTGTCCCCGTGGCTCTGCTTTTATACGCGGTGCTCTCTGCTTTTGGAGTAGTTACCACTGGACTGACGGGGTCTCCAGGGCAGGACGCTGTCGGTTTCTAACCCCGCAGCAGCCAGCAGTCATTTGGACACCTCAGGCGTTCATGCATATTGAACTGAGCATGTTTTATGCTCAGAATGCAAATCTCTAATTAACAACTTCCTTAGGTATAAATTTATTACCCTCAGTTCTTCATCTTATTATTAGTTTCTGTAATTAACTTTTGTCTGCTGTTCTTTAAACTAGCACTTGGCCAAAGGAAAAAACTGTCTGAACTTTTCAGCCAGATACCTACCTGTCTGCAGCTCACCTGCCTTTTTTCCCTCAGGCTCTGTTGCTCACCCTTTCTGTGATTTTCTTTATTTTCACCCTCTTGAAATGCTTTTCTGTTTTTTTCTTCATCTCATTATAAAACACACGACTTTTTAGATGAATCCTATGGAAATGGAGAAATTAGACTTATTTTAGCATTAAAAGCTTTTTTTTAATTTAAAAAAAATTTGGAGGTGAAAAAGTCCTCTTGTTTGTACCATTTTTGTCACCAAGATACTCATCTCACCTATAGAACTAAGGATTGACATGTGGGAAACGCAGTAGGTCACATATTTTAATGTCCAAGATTGCTACTTTTAAAATAGTATTCACCATAAAAAATGACTTGTGTTGAAAATTATTTCAAATTCTATAATATAAATTATAGAATTATAATTTAATAAAAATACACACATTTTTATGATCACACTTAAACTGGAGGTTAAAATTATCAGCATGTCCTTTTTAAAGCAATTTCTTTTAAAAGAAATAATCTCCTTTATTTTTACATATCTAGATTCATATAAGTGAAATTTGTTTAAAATGAGATACAAAGGCAATTATAGTAATTATAAATTAAAGATAGCATTAGCCCTGGCTGGTGTTGCTCTGGCTAGAGTGTTGGCCTGTATACCAGAGGGTCATGGATTTGATACCCAGTCAAGGGCATGTACCTGGGCTGCAGGTTCAGTGCCCGGCCCCAGTGGGGGTGTATGCGGAAGGCAACCAAACCGATTTGTGTGTCTCAAGTCGATGTTTCTTTCTCTCTCTCCCCGCCACCCCTTCTTTCCACTCTCTCTCTCTCTAAAAAAAAAAAAAAAAAAAAAAATCCTCAGGTGGGGATTAACAACAACAAAAACAAAAAAGATAGCACTAATAATACTAATCATTGGGGAAATGTCATTTAAAGAAGTGCATGAAGTTTGAGCTTGATTTCAGAACCATGAATATGATATCTTTTTTGCCTTTTCAGGCATCACATAAGATCTTTCCTCAAGAGAAAAACTATTGCCACTAGAGTAAGACTTAGAAATAAGTCTACATGTATTGTTTTATAGTTTAACTCAGCATGTACTGGCTGTGACCTCCTCCCCTTCCACCAAAAATGCTAGGAAATTTTATTGAAATCTTTCATGGAAGCAAATTTGAAAATTATTTTTAAAAATACTTACAATTATTACAAAGGTAATAAAGAATTAGCTTTATATAAATAGAATACAGGTTATACCTTTCAAAGTAGAGTACCAATTATTTTAATTTAAATTGAATGCCAGGTCAAATCAGTATAGCTTTATTTGGGGGGGATGGATAGATAAGGAGTATTTTTATTTGTTTTGGTTTTTCTACTTTATAGAACATGAAATTTAGGGCATTTAGAAGAGTAATAATAATAAACATTTTATAAAATTAACTTTTCTCTCTTTGGTTTCAGTGGCCCCAACCGAGGCCATTACATTGCCATAGTTAAGAGTCATGACTTCTGGTTGTTGTTTGATGACGATATTGTAGAAGTAAGTAGTTTCTTCATTTCTTATTTTTCTTCAAAGTTGTATACATGGTTTACTCTTCACTTTTTTTCTCCCAGCTTCTCATTCATGTATGACAGGCGATGAGTATTAGATGAATGTTTAAATCTTCAGATTGTAATCTAATTTCTACTTTGTACTCTCTAACCTTCAGTCCCAGTGTTTGAATTGTCAGCTAACCTTAAAGTGTTTAGAATAAAACAAAAGATGGCTTTCAGTGACAGAGCTAGTTAAAAAAAACAACTTTCATTATTAAGGAAATATTGAGCTATAACATGCCTATAGTGAAGTGCACAGATCTTAAGCAACAACTTGGTGAATTTTTGCATGGACGTGCACACCCACACACATAGACACACATACCCAGATCAAAGTATACTACATTTTCTATGCCCCAACAAGCTCCCTTATTCCTCTTCTTGGTCAGTACCCACAGCTCTCTTCCCCTCTACCCACCTTCCCTTGGAACCCACTATTTTTACTTTTATCATGATGATTAATATTGCCTGTGTTTGACTATAAATGGACTCAAGGATGACTTCTTTTGTAGCTTGCTTTTTTTACTCATCAGTGTATCTGTGAGATTCGTTCTTATGGCCTGTACGTAGTAGCTGTTCTTTATTGCTATGTACTTTTCTGTTGTATGATGATACCAAGGTAGAAACTTGGCTTTTTGTCCAGTATTGACTGTTATGAATAAAACTACCTTGATTGTTCTTTTACAAGTTGTTTGCTGGACATATGCACTCATATTCTCCGGTGTATGTATATATATATTAGGTTTGACCACATGAAGTTGCCATTTCACAAATGCGTGACTATTCGTGGTTTCATATACTACAGCCAGTGCCTACAAATAGTATTGCTGGATCAAAGGGTAGTTGTATGTTCAGCTTTAGAAGATGATGCCAAACATTTTCCCAATGTGTCTATACAATTTTATATTTCCCCCAGCTATATATGAGAGTAATAGTTGCTCCATTTTCTCACCAGCACTTGGTATCATCAGTCTTTTTAATTTAAGCCATTCTGGTTGTGCAGAGCTATTTTATAAATGAGAAAATGAAAGACATTTCTAAGAAATATTGAAGGTTTTACTGGATTTAAACAGTTCAGGGAGTTTGTTTATGTACTAATGTTTACATTTTGCCTCACAGAAAATAGATGCACAAGCTATTGAAGAATTCTACGGGTTGACATCAGATATCTCAAAGAACTCTGAGTCTGGTTACATCCTTTTCTATCAGTCTCGGGACTGAGGGGGAACCATGATGAAGAGATTTCTGCCTCATTTCTTCTCTGGTTATTATGGAAAGGATCAAGCACTGATTTTTCAAGAAAAGAGAAATGCAGGAAGCTCAGGGGGCAGTGGCATACTTTGCACACAATAAAGCAAAGACTATGGATTAACAAGCTCTTCCTATCATGGTAGTTGATTTATTTGCTCAGGTATCATGCTGTCTGTGCAGTTCCATTCAACAAGGACGTGACATCAGAGATAGCAGCTCCTCCTGTAAAGCAGCCTTCTGGTAACTGACACACATGTTCTCTTTATTAATTGCACCAGTATGATTTGAACTCCTTGGGGGTGCGGTAGAAGGAATAGGAATCGGTGCCAGGTTGCACTGATAACTGAAGGAGACGGTCGAGAACACACTGCATACGTGTGCCTGTGTTGAATGTGTACAGAAAGAATCTTTGGTGGTCTTTTCAAGCGTAAACCAGAAATACTTTTGGGCCCAACACTTGCAGTTGCCTTCCTGATGTAAAAAAAAACTAAGATATTAGAATCCAGTGTCAGGAAGACAAATATGTTTTGCTTCTCTGAAGAAGCTTTTAATAATATACAGTATGTGTATATGTAGGGAACAATTGGTCAAAAGTGGCTTTTTGTTTCCCCAAGGGGAAAGACTGGCTTTGTAATTATAATTTTTTTCCTTATTTATTTTACTCAAAACTGCTAGAGTCTAAGTATTGTATGACGTGCCCATGATTCTGTCAGTAAATTTGATCATATTTTTATTAGCTTTTGTCAGTTTAACTAGTCCTTTTGTTTGTTTCTATTTTTAAGGTGAACTTTAAACTCTATTTTAAATCAGTAAGATACCATAAGAAAAATTGCAATGAGGGGAGGTAAAACACTCTTTTTCAGGAGGAACTGATATCTCTGGCTAAATATTTGTTTTTTGTTGTAGTTTATATCAGTTATTTTATTCAGCTTTAATTTCAGTAAAATAAGAACTGTCAGAATTCCCTATAGTTGTCAGATGATAAAAGACACTCTGGTGCCGAGGGGCTATACCAGTCTTCAGAATTCTCACGTTGAGGGAGGCCATGTCTGGAGGGTTCGTGTCACAGCAGTTATGTTACTTTCCAGTGTCATTCTTTACCTTGGAAAGAAGGACCCACTCATCATAACCCCGAAGCCTGGGTAGCTAGTGGAAAACCCTTTGAAAATGAACTTTTAGGGAAGTAGACCAGGAATGCACAGACACGTCCTTTCCTGCCTCCACCTTCACATATCCAACTGGGAGAGTGTTTGGAAAATAACTTTGTGAAGACTCCCTTCTGTTGGGAGTTTTAAGAAGTAATGTGTATAATTAAAATGTGTGTAAATTATTGCAGTTGACACTTTTCCATGCATCAGTAAGTTTTCTGACAGTGGCTGAATGTCACTTGCAGAAAGTAATTGAATATATATTCAAAATAATCAGGCATCTTTTCAGGCAGTAATTTTTTTTTAATTGCTGTAATTTTCTAAACTTATTTTACTAATACTGTTGAATACAAAAAAAAACAAAAAAAAATCTTTTGTCTGCTGCTATTAACATTTATTATCTGTATCTTTTAGCTCAGGAAATGACTTCACCTATTCGTTCCATGAACATATCTTTAACAGGGTCACTAAGCTAATTGGGCTGTTTAACAGGTGTACTGGGAGAAAATATGATGTATTTTGACGAATTGCTTTTTAAGGTATAGTTTCTGAAGCCTTATCCTGGCTGGAATTGTTTTGTACCAATCACATAGCCTGGCTGAGTTACCAACATTGCACAGAGAATCACAACCAAGAATGTGGGAAGGTCATAGCAGTGCAACTGGATACATTTTTTAGTTCGAGGGCTTAAACCAAACTGTCTTAGAGTTGAAAGCTGTGTTTCTTTGGCTTTCAGCACAGAGAAGGGGATTCAAGTGAAGCTGAGTCAGTTTTTAAGTGAGTCAGGCCACAGCATGTATAAGAAAGATAGATGAAGTCATTTGCATAAAGGTACAGCGTTGGAATACTATGTTTTGTTTGTTTTCGCATTGTGCAATTGTAAAAGCCAAGGTTAAATTTCATATTAAAGCAAGTGATAGCATTTTTATTGAGTTTCATGGTAGTCACACACTGTTGACATCTACACCATATTTAATAGTATGATTTGTCAGGGGAGGGACTGTGGGGTGATGGTTCTCAATTTAATTTTCACTCTTAGTGCAGCTGCATCTAAGTAAAATGTTTGGAAGCGTATCAGAAACTCAGTATACTTTAAAAACATATAGGGTTAGTTTGGGGGGGAAATGCAGATGTAGTAAGACAAGTGACCCAGATAGACAGCCCTGTGAGGTTGTCTATTGGTTGACTGGTTGAAATGAGGGGCAGGCTTAAGTTGTAAATGATGGCTGATGGCTGTCTCCTGTACATGATTGTTGGGATGGCTGTCCCATATTTTGTATATTGGAATAAAAATTTCTATAAATTATCATAACTAAAAGTAAATATTCTAAATTAAGTCTCACTTTGAAGTCATATGGTTTCTATCTTGGCAACTGTACCTTTAGAAGATTACTTAAGACAGGAGCCATGTGACTTTAGGAAGGACAAGGAAGTATGTAATATATGGGTCTTGTTGCCTCTAACCTTCAGTATAGGGTGTTTTCTTTCCTTGATGGCAGTAGAAAGACCTCATTTTCATAGCATACTACTCTTGATACTTTCTGAAATGACACTTTTCATTAAAGATTCTGTCATGAGGTATTTAACTGGGAGCTGGGAGGCTAAGGTGCTCAGGTCCTGGCTCTTCAGTGAATTTAACTGTGTGACCTTGGGCAAGTCACTTAACCTCTCTGTGCTTCAGTCTCCCTATCTTGTAAAATGGGAGTAATACCTACCTCACAGGGTTGTTGTGGGGATTAATTAGATATAATGTCTGTAAAGCATCTAAAGTTCTTGAAGAAGGCGCTATATAAATACAAAATAATATCTATTAAAGTTGTTTTATTTGTGCTTGTGGGTTTTACGTGTGTTTTTTTCCTTTTTGCCTAAAGTGTATTTGCAAATTAGAAGTACACACTTTGGAAATTGTCTTACTGCTTTTGCTCCAAAGTTACTACTTTTGTTATCCAAAGAGATTTTTCCAGAACAGCATTCCATACTGTATTTTTCTTTATGGACTAGCATTATCTTTCCAAAAAAGCCCAAGTTTAAACATTTAAATTTAGAATCATAGACTCCTAGAGGGGAAAATACCGTCAAAGTCACTGTTCCTAGCACCCCGCCCCCTTCCAGTGTAGTAATTGCCCTGCGAAATTTGCACCTCAGTACTTGAAGCCTGTTCCACTGTTGAATAATTTGAATCGTTGTTTATGTGGCCATTTTATATAATCCACCCTCCATCGTTCTTGGGAACCCTCTTCTAGAAGCACTTTTGTTTATCCATATGTCTGAAAAAATATTCTTAGAATAAACACAATAATAGATGTACTAGACTCATTGGGGACCTAAGGTTGCATTTTCTTTTCTCAGCACCTATATCACACACTTCATACTGAACCTCGCATAAATGAAATTCTCTGTATTAGAGAGAGTTTTCATGAACTGTTGAAATGCCAAGACTGACCCTCCTCTTCTAAAGTTCCCTAGTTACCTGGTACCTGTGTGTATATTTTAAAGCTTTTTTACTTAAGTTTTCTTTCTTTTTTTTTTATCCTCACCTGAGTACATTTTTTGCATTTATCTCCAGATAGAGTAGGAGAGAAGGGGGGAAGAGAAACATCGATGTGAGAGAGACACATCGAGTGGTTGCCACCCACATGACCCCAACCGGAGCCGGGGACAAACTGCAACCAAGGTAGGTGCCCTTAGTGGGAACCGAACCCGGGTCTCTCTGGTCCGCAGGCCAACGCTCTAACCGCTGAGCCAAACCAACCAGCGCTACTTATGTTTTCTTAATGATAACCTACTGCCTTTTTTTTAAACCTCTAGAGCTGCTGAAATAACCCATCGCTGTTGAGTTGATAGTGTGATGGGCCCAGTCCTCAGCATTTTACTTTTTAAAAATGTTGATCTTGCCCTGGCCGGTTTGGCTCAGCGGTTAGAGCATCGGCCTGCGGTCCCGAGAGACCCGGGTTCAGTTCCCACTAAGGGTGCGTACCTCGAGTTGCAGTTTGTCCCCGGCCCTGGTTGGGTCGTGTGGGTGGTAGCCACTCGATGTGTCCCTTTCATGTCAATGTTTCTCTCTCTCTCTCTCTCTCTCTCTCTCTCTCTCTCTTCCTCTCCCTCCCTCCCACTCTACCTGAACAAAAATGGAAAAATGTCCTTGGGTGAGGATAAATACAAAAAAAGAAATAAAAATGTTGATCTTGACAACCTCTGTGAGGTAGTGATATCCTCATTTTACAAAAGGGAACTAAAGCTCTTCAGAAGTTAAGTAATTTTTTCAGAGTCGCTCAGCTGGAAAGGAGCTGATAAAGGTTTCAGAGAGGTTGACCTCATTGCCCAGTTCTTTTTTTTTTATCCTCACCCAAGGACGTTTTTCCATTTTTTGTTCAGCTAGAGCAGGAGGGAGAGAGAGAGAGACATCGACGTGGCTGCCACCCGCACGACCAACCAGGGCCGGGGACAAACTGCAACCGAGGTACATGCCTTTAACAGGAACCGAACCCGGGTCTCTCTGGACCACAGGCTGACGCTCTAACCACTGAGCCAAACCGGCCAGGGCTCATTGCCCAGTTCTTAACCATGGCTGTCATTATCAGATAACTATTATTGTAGAGAATACACATAACACAAAATTTACCATGCTAACCATTTTAAGTGGACTATTAAGTGACACTAAGTACAATGTGCAGCCATCACCACTATTTCCAGAATTTTTATCTTCTCAAGCAGAAACTTTGTACCCATTAAACAATTATTCCCCACTCCTTCCTCTCCCCAACTTCTAGTCACCCCTTTCCTACTTTCTGCCTATGAATTTGACTGCTCTGGTTACCTCCTATAAATGGAATCATACAGTATTTGTCCTTTTGTGGCTTATTTCACTTAGCCTGTTTGCAAGGTGTCTTTGTGTCAGAACTTTTTTTTTTTTAATCACCTGATGATACTTTTCTATTTATTTTATTTTATTTTATTTTTAGAGTGGAAGGGAAGCGGGGGGAGAGAGAGAGAGAAGCACCCATGTGAGAGAGACACATCAATTGGTTGCTTCCCACAGAACCCCTACCAGGGGTTTGAACCTGCAACCCAGGTATGTGCCCTTGACCAGAATCGAACCCAAGACCCTTTATTCCGAAGGCTGATGCTCTAACTGCTGAGCCAAACCAGCCAGGGCGGAACTTCCTTACTTTTAAAGACAATATTCCATTGTATGTATATAGCACATGTTGTTGACCCGTTCATCTTTTCATGGACGTTCAGCTTTTATCTGTCTTGGCTATTGTGAATAATGCTGTTATGAACATTGTTGTACAAGTATCTGAGTCCCTGATTTCAGTTCTTTTAGGTATATACTAGGAATTGCTGGATCATGGTAATTCTGTTTAACTTCTTCAGTAACTGCCATACTGTTTTCTACAAAAGCTACATCATTTTACATTCCCACCAGCAATACATCAGGGTTCCAGTTCCTGCATATCCCTGTAAACACTTGTTGTTTTCTGTTTTTGTTTCTGTTGTTTTGGGGATTGGTAGGGGGTGAGGGGTGGAGTGGCCATCCCAACTGGTCATATCTCATTGTGATTTTGATTTGCATTTCCCTGATGATTAGTGATATTGAGCATCTTTCCCTGTGCTTATTGGCCATTTGTGTATCTTCTTTGGAGAAATGTCTAAGTCCTTTGTTTGTTTTTAAAAACTGGGTTATTTGTTGTTGAGTTATAGGTATTTATATATCCTAGGTATTAATCCCATTTCAGATAGATGATTTTCGAATATTTTCTCCCATTCTGCTAGTTGTCCTTTTACTCTCTTATGGATAGTAAGTATTCTTTGATGCACAAAAGTTTTTAATTTTGATACAACCCAATCTACCTAGTTTTTTCTTTTGTTGCCTTTGCCTTTGGCGTTATATCCAAGAAATTATCACCAAATCCAATATCATGAAGCTAGCTATTCCTTATGTTCTTCTAAATGTTTTGTAGTTATAGCTCTTACATGTAGGTCTTTGATCCTTTTTGAGTTAATTTTTAGTTTATTGATTTTAGAGAGAGAAGAGGTGAGAGGGAGAGAAACATCGATGAGAGAGAACATTGATTGGCTGCCTCCTGCATGCCCCCCAGTTGGGATCAGGCCCACAACCTGGGCATGTGTCCTGACCATGACTCAAACCGGCGACCTCGTGGTACATGGGTCGATGCTCAACCACTGTGCCACACCGGCCAGATAACTTCATTACTTTTTATGTGGGTATCCAGTTTTCCCAGCACCATGTGTAAGACTGTTCTTTCCCTGTTGAATATT